GCGTGTCGAGTGCGCGAAATGCAGGCGAGAGTGCGATTTGTCCTGCGCGCGGGCAACCCTCTGCGGAGATCGTGCGTGTCGAGTGCGCGAAGTGCAGGCGAGAGTGCGATCTGTCCGGTGCGCGCGCAACCCTCTGCGGAGATCCTGCAGGTCGAGTGCGCGAAATGCGGTGTGCGCAACCCTCTGCGGAGATCGTGTGTGTCACGTGCGCGAAATGCAGGCGAGAGTGCGATCTGTCCGGTGTGCGCGCAACCCTCTGCGGAGATCGTGCGCGCAGGCGAGAGTGCGATTTGTCCGGTGTGCGCGCAACCCTCTGCGGAGATCGTGCGTGTCGAGTGCGCGAAATGCAGGCGAGAGTGCGATCTGTCCGGTTCCGGCGCAACCCTCTGCGGAGATCGTGCGTGTCGAGTGCGCGACATGCAGGCGAGAGTGCGACTTGTCCCACGCGCTCGCGTATCTGGGGAGCCTTAGTACGTGGAGCAAGCTGTGGAGCTGGAAGCTGAGAACTGGCGACTTTGTAGTGCAACTTTAGTACGCGGAGTATCTGGGGAGCTGGAAGATGAGAACTGGCGACTTTGTAGTACAACTTTAGTACGCGGAGTATCTGGGGAGCTGGAAGATGAGAACTGGCGACTTTGTAGTACAACTTTAGTACGCGGAGTAGCTGGGGAGCTGGAAGATGAGAACTGGTGACTTGGTAGTACAACTGTAGTACGCGCAGTACCTGGGGAGCTAGAACATAAGAACTGGCCACTTTGTAGTACAACTGTAGTACGCGGAGTATCTGGGGAGCTGGAAGATGAGAACTGGCGACTTTGCAGTACAACTTTAGTACGCGGAGTATCTGGGGATGACCCACAAGAGTGTCCCACAAGAGTGTCCGTCAAGACGGCGTGTCGCTTCAGAGAGGGATGACTGGTGGTATTATGTGATATGTTTGCGACTAGTGTGTGGCGGACCTATTCAGCGTTGTGCTGACACAGCGAGAAAGACACCAAGAGGTTGGCGCTCCTGAGCCACACTGTTGTGCTGCCGTATCATCTGTGCATCGACGTCTACACCCCCTCACCTGTGCACAGACACAGACACAGATACACACATAGACACACACACACAAAGACCCACACACGGACTCGACACACTAGACTGAACACTTCACACTTAACACTTAACACATAACTCACACTCTAACTTCACACGTGATGAAAAATGCTTTCGGGCCACTCGTCGTCTAGTTTCTATAACAACAAAATCTATAATCAGAAGAATAAAGGAAAAAGAATAAAACACATCATTGCGTCAGAAATCATAAACCATCCATCACTGCATATGTCCGTTTTTACCATCCCTTTTTGGCCTCCTCCTTCCACCCGAGTCCGTTACCTGCGCTGCATTCTCGCGCATGAACTCATCCTGAAAGCGCCACGACCGGTTTCTTTAACGATGGTCGGCTGTGTCTCTGATCGACTCGAGACCGTCGTGATACAACAGCAGTTGAAGAACGACTTCTCTCCTACGATGTTGTGTTTGCCAGCCTGAAAGTTTGAGGGCCCAAACGAGTTAGGAAGGGGGCAAACAAGGCCTGTCACGATGAACATCATTCTACCCACACTACAATTATGTTTGACACTTGGGCGTCAAAACATAGACTTGACATTCATCAGCTATTCCAACTGTGCGCAGAAACAATGCAGGCAGGCCTGTCATTACAACACTGAGAAAACCAAACCAAGAATAGATCTGAACAAAATATACAAACCTCACATCACTCACACCTTTTATCAGATCCTCCACCTTCGACTTTCTGGAGCCACGTACCCCGGATCTCCGTCCAGCGCAGCCGATGACGCCGAGGCTCCATGGATTCCATGCTGCCTCCAGGCAGCTCCCGAGAGATTTGGAACTCGGTCATGCGAGGCCGCGCTCGGCACGACGAACACGGTGAGGTCGGTCGGTGCGAAGCAAACGTGCTCGGTCGTTCCGAGGCAAACGCGTGGTCGAAACAATAGTAAAAGCACACACAGGGCGGGACATGACTGCTAGGAACTTGCTGGCGCTGGAGGCACCCATATATCTGTTTGCATTCTTTTGAGTGAGTTAGCTCGGTGCAGCTCAGGCACATTATTTTCTATTTGGATTCGTCGCCCAGATGTGGACGTTGATGCTTCCGCCTGGAGAGTCCGTCGCAGGGTTCCCGGACATCGGACGTCCGAAGATCCGTCCGAGAAGCAGACCCGCCGTGCCAATCTGGAGCCCCGGGAGAATTGCACTGCCAGAGCTGCTCCGAAGGCTGCCACCCCTCTTTGCAGCTGCCGTTCAGGCTGGGGCTGTTGTTTCACCTTGGTTGAAAGGACTTTGGAGACACTAGGCCTGGGCATCGCATCATCTCCGGATTTGATTTGATTCAATGTCATCTGGCCTGGCTGCCAGGAAGGGCCTTGAACCGCCTGGCCACAGCTGTCATTTGAGATGTCTCTGAAAAATACCCTCCAGTGGAAAGCGAAAGAAAGGGAAATACAATTCGTCATGACCAAAAGCAGATTCGGTGAGGAGGAGCCATCCGAAAAGCAAGCTTCGGCAACAAGTTGGGCTGCGAAGCTCTGCGATTCAACCAAACTGTAGCAGGTGTAGCTGCTGAGCCGAAGCTTCTTGCGTGGATGTGAAGAACAAAGAAAAGCTTGCTTGGGTCTCTGTGGAGGCTCACAAAAACACAGAAGAAATCTTACCACAAGCAAGGGCAGACAACTCAATTACTCCAACAGGTTGCTCTACTGGCCTCAGAGTTTGATAAGTCTGATCTCTGGAGACCAGTTGCACTGCACCGAGCTCCTGGCTTTGATAAAAAGCCCGGACTTCTTGTCTTGGGCAGGTATCTATATATATGTCAAGGCAAAAAGGCCGAGATGGTTTGCGCTTCAATCTATGCCTATGCAAGACTCCAAATCTGCGACATGTCCAAGGCTCCATGAGGAAATGGAGGGCGCAACTCAAGGCACAAGGGAAAATGCTCGGCTGGGCCAAAATGAGCCACGAATCCGGGCGACACTCGAACACGCCCATCAGTGAAAGCTGGCATGCAAAGTAGGGAAGGCTGATGAAATCGGAACACCGAAAAAGAGAAACGCATTAGCTACTCACACCTTTCCGGGTTCTATTTGAAGAGTACGAACCAATTGCTGCTTGCAGCTTCGATGCGCATGGAAAAATGCTGAGTCTACGGCTCTGAACTCAGTCGTATCCTTCCATAGATCAGCCTCATTGTCCTCACCCAACAGGGTCTTCTTCGGAAAGACTGCAGTCACCGAAACATTTGGAGCACAAGAACCGCCAAACGCCAAACAACCGCCAATCAGCCTCTGGACTTGGACTGACCTGTAGCAAGCACCCGGACCAGATTTTGAACCAAAGTCAATGCACTTCAAAAGTCAATGTGCTAACAAAATCGATCACTGTCAGCTGAGCGCCCATGCGGGCCCTTGTTCCGGCTCCATGGCGTGCGGTGAAAAAGGAAGCTGCTCGAAAAGGAAGGCCGTGCTTTGTCTTTTACTCACTTTTGTGGGCAATGGCTTTGCCGCGGCAAAGGTGCACTTGCATGAGTGTCTCAAACCATCTCAAACCTCATGCTCTTTGCATTGTGCTATCTCTCGCGAAGCTGCGAAGCTCCAGAAATCCCTTTAAAGGAGTCTGGAGCCTGGAAGCAAAAGAGGGCCGGCAATGCACCATTCCATTGACATCAGTCAGAAGTTTAACTACTGCTCAACACGACATATGTTGGCGGCCTTCTTCCAAAAGAATGGTTCCGGATTCTTGACCCACACCCTAGGACCCACGTTTATCGGCCAGGGACACCAGCCACCTGCATCGGCTCCCCGCCAAGCTCGAACTGACGTCCTCCATAAGGATTGTCCTCTAAAGTGTCTTGGATCTGCCACGCGCGGATCCAACGGCGGACGCCACGCGCAGAAAAGGAATCCAGGAAGGGCCAAATGCTTTAATTTGAAGTCTGAAAAGGCACGGGAAAGGCCACATGCCACACGCTTCACACTGTTGCGGACAAAGATACAGTAATAGCACACCTGAACAAGCAATTCATTGTATCTGTGGACCATCGCCATCTATCACACATCGACATCACCAACATCACCAACCGATCAACAGCAAGTGCCAAAGCACAGTCAAGAAAGCCCTTGCATAGAAAGGAGAACACCCCCCAGAAACACCCTGGTGCCGAGACCACCATCGAGACCACCATGCAGACCACCCCAATCTTGACCCCTTATCACATCCCTATCATCCCCTATCGCTTGGTCATCACATCTTCAAAAAAATGGGCGCTCCTCCACTCGGAAGCCGTAGCGGACCAAGAACCTCGTTCGAGACGCGACGCGACGCCCAAAGCAGTGAAAGCAATGGGACTCGCTGCAACCAAAGAGCTCCAAATTGGAAGCCTGCGCATAGTCGATGCACAGTTCCTTACACAAAGGAGGCCAATCCGTCGATGCAGGTTTGAGTGAAAACTCCGTCAAGTCAACGAAAAACCTGGCATAGGAACAAGGTTCGCTACTATATAGGGACTCCTGGCATCGCTACGAACGGAGCGATCGGACGCTACTAGGGACGCCCCTGGCCTTACTCTTCACCGAATGGTCCTTCCTTGGGCTCCACACGTCGCCGGGCATCACGTCCTTCGTGGCCACAAAACGCAGCGCGTCCTGGAGACAGCGGTACAGACGCGTCGGGAGCGCATCAGCGGAGATCCCAAAAGCATCGGTCCTCTGCAAGTGTTGCAGTTCGGACACTAGCGACCTTAGGGAAACGAAAGAACTCACCGAAAATGCTGAAGACGCGTTGATGTTGCACACCGGGTCTTGCAAAATTGCGAGGCAGCGACCATGTTGTGGTTCAGAAAGTCTGCCAGAGGAATCAGCATGGTGCTCTCCCTGGTGCCCTGGCCAGTTTTCGTAAGTTCCAAATGAGTGAAGGTCACAGAAGTTCAACCTCAAACAACAGTGGCAACCGAATTTGCAAAGACCTCCCAACCGGCTTTGGAATGAGTCCAAACAGCATGAAGTGACGAATTACTTCAAAGGGATTCATGGATCCTTCAGCAGAGGAGGCACCGTTCCGTCGTCCCTCTTTGGAGTTTGGTCTTACTGGAAAGGGGTGCCGTTCAAAGGTTTTTGACCTTTTTTCCTTTGCCCTTGGGAGCCTTTGGCCAGATCTATGCAGCAATCATATTATGGGTGCCACTCTCAAGGTTTACAATCTCGTGACGGCTGGACACTGCACCTCAAAGGCAAAGCCACGCGTCTTCACAACGCTCAATGCCCACCGCAGATCCTGCCAAAAGGGCCACCAGTTGATCAAGCAAGCACAAAGAGGTAGGCTGCTAGCTACAAGTTCGCTCCTAACCACGCAGGATAGCTCACGCTCGCACTAATGATTTGGTTTCTAGATGTTTAGGAAAACTTCACTTGCGGGCAAGCCGAACCGTCATGTTACATGTTGCTTGCTATTTGCACCATGCCGCCCAAGCTGGTGCGCCGAGACTTGCCACTTTCGTGGGCTTTCCAATCACTTGGAACTACACCCAATTGTTCAACCTGGGTCCTCTTTGGTGATGCTTCGCCCACGCCAAAGATTTGGGTTCATCTGGCAGAAGGGCGTTGCAACTTTGCTGAAAAATGATTGACAATCACAAGAATGAGAGCTGAAATAATATAGCTCTGGCTCTTTCCGCCAGGTTGTGAGCTGAAAGAACTCCTTCCAACAAGCTCAAGACCATCTTGATGGCAACTTTGGGACTGAAATGGGCTCTATTTGGCACGACTCATCATAAATCCTCTGAATCCTCAGCAAAACGTGTGGAAACGTCAAAAGACAACCAGAACTTCTTCGGCTTCAGCGGCTCAAATCTCAGCGGCTCCGCGCTCGGGCTCCGGCTTCGCCTGTTGAACAGCACGTCCCATGCAGTCCAGGTCTTCAAACCTTGGTCTGAAACGACGGGCGTCGGGCTGAAAGCGAGAGCGATGGCCCCGCTTTCGAACTGCTGAGCGAAATCACCAGTTCTGCACAATATAGGAAAAAAAGGTCTTCTGTACCAGCTCCAATTGCCTGGAAGAGGAAAGCGATGGCCCTCTAGGTAGAAAAGATATCACAAGCAAGAAGGGCATATTCCGTTGAGGATTTCCTATCATCTCTACTTGACATGCACGTGCCTTCCTTACAGCCCAAGATCACACACTCACTCCGGACGCGCAATAACAGCAAATCCTTCAAGCTCACGTCTTGCGGCCTGGAAGAAAACCATAAAACCTCGGCCAACAGCAAGACACACTGCTAAACAAACTGTTCGCACAGACCTCCTGATCATAATCAAGACCAGGAACATTGGCAAATGTCAGCGGCAAAAGCTTGATCCAGTCTGCAAGTACTGAACTGGGGTTGACCCTGCACAGGAAGAACGCCACAAACAACATGACAAGAATAAGAGTATGACTTCGGGCACTTGCAGAGCTTTCCTTCTGCCTTCCCCCCCGCCTTTCCAAAGCCAAGCCCAGACCCAAAACTGCATGCGCGTCACAGCCATTTTGCCTCTCACCAAAGACTCAAATTGATTGCAAGGATTTGCAAACGTACAACTTCTCATTCCCTCTTTTGTCCATTTGTTCACTGGGCACAAAATCACACAGAATAAGAAAAACTAGGTCCTTCCAAGTGGAGTGGTTTCTCTCAGCACGTGGTGCATGTCACATGGCGCATGGTACACACATTTGTTCAGGCCTCGAAGCGTCAATGACCGCAGCGTGCACACTCTTCAGCGAAAACACCTCTCGTTCGGTCGGTTGAGTCCCAAGGCCATGCGACTCGTGCGACGAAACGGAACTCACTGCGACTCTTCCGACGAAAACACCACGATGCCTGCGTGGACGGAACTCTGAGGACAGTCGAACGGGCAGAAAGCGCCCTGCAAAGCAAAAAAGCAGACTAGGACTGGCCTTTTGAATTCAGGCCTTATTGATCCTTATTGTAAAAACAACCCACACAGCCAACACATGTGCCTGGATGCCACAGCCCCCGTGCGTCCGCCAGAGACATGCCGAATGTCAAAGTGGACCGTGGCCCCCCTGACGCAGAGCAGCTCGCAGAGCAGCAGCTCCGCAGCTCCGCAGAATCCGACTGGTGCGACTCGTCGCAAAATGCGAATGAGGATGGCTGGATCCCGAAATTACTCTCCATGGCGGAGAGTAAACGTCCTTGGCCCCCAAAGAAGTCGCACCAATCGGAAATGATGGTTTTTTCTTTCATGTCTGAACCACACAACGGACCATGGCCTCCACCCGCCCAAACCGCCTTCGGACCATGTCGGCCACAAAGTTGCGTCGCCGGAGGTCGAACTGAGGTGAAGCGAAGGCGTCTCTTTTTGGAGGTTGGTGAAGTCATAACGTCTCAACTCAATCAACTCACAAGTCATAAACTCAGATTTGGACAGATTGAATCAACACACAACTCACAAGTGATACTGTCGCCCGGCTTCCTCAAAGCCCAACGGTCGAGCCTCGCCTGTATGCCTTCCTCCGTTTCCGTGCAGCATCGGTCATAGGTGAAGACCTTACGAAAACAACGAAAACGACAGGCCCGCAAAAATCACCCGCACTGGCCGCGCTAAGTAACTCAGGTTGTTTGGGGCCCTGGGTTTCTGAGCACAGCGCAGAATCCCAACAGAGTGGGTTGCCTTTGGCACCTGGAGCGCTGCAACAAATCTCGGGGGTCCAGCCTCCAACCTGGGCGCACACGGCAGACACACACCGCGACACCGCGACAGACGCACACGGCGCCCCCCTTCGACCCGAAAGAAGCCCCGGTGTCCAAGGCCTGTGCCCAACAGTCTGCAGAACTGATGGCCTCAACTCCAGGTGCTAGCGGTGCTAGGAAGATGAGCCTGAAGCACAAGCATCAGAATCATCATTGCTGCATGCTACGCAGGAGTGGTTCAAAAACAAAAGGTCTGGAAGATCGCAACAAAAACAAAAATTGGCAGAACACTAGGACATCTGAGCATGCGACGTTCCTAATCGCCGCCCCCTGGGGCGAGACTCCATCTATTTCACTTAGCATTCATTGGGTGTCAACGAAAGATGATTTGCTGGGCTGCTTTAGCTTGCTGTGGCTTGCTGACGTTTCTCTCTTCATTAACGATGGGTCCAGAACCGTCAGACTGTTCACTGACGTCTTCGACTTCTTCTCGTTTGCTTCTGGGTTTGTCTTGTAGACAATCCTGCTGGACCGTTTCCTGTGAGCCTACTGACCAACACAGCCATTCCATCACCAACGCCTCAAGTCGCAGCAACACCGAGACTGGCTACACCCAAGACCTGCTCGCTGCTCTCCTTTTTGCCGTCAGCATCCGAAACCCAATTAAAGAATTGGCAACGGCCCGAACTCAGGTGCTGGAAGATAATGGAATGATGAAACTGAATGGGCACTTGCACAGTAGCTCTAAGTCTGTCTACAAGGAACTGCAATTCTTTTGGTCGAGAATTCGATCGTGCACCAAACGACCGTCCACAGTAGCACCGATTGAATGGGCGCAGCCTCCTTGCTCATTGATATCACACCCTAAAGCATAACACCTAGTGCGCGGCACTAGATGTAAGCTCGCAACTTCTCATTCACATCCTGGCTTTGAAATATTTCAATATTGAGTGCCCACATCAAACATTTGTACATGGCAAAGAAGAGAAGCCCGTTTCAATTAAGAACGCGCCCTCATGCATGAAGCTTGCCAATTCGACTGAAACTCCATGACAGGCACTTGCTGCTAGTCACTAGAGCTCAAAGTCTTTGGAACGGGATGGGCGCATCAATCTCATCAAAAGGGAAAGTCGACTCAAGGTTGCTAGCCAAGAGTCTTGTCAGGTCCCAACCAAATTTGCACTTTGCATGAATTATGCCGTTTTTTGAGAAGAGGTAGTGAAAATCAGAGGTGTACTGAATGGGAGAACCCAATTGTGCCGAGGTCCTGGATGCAAAAGTCGTTTCCGAGAGCGTCAAACAAGTCAAACAACGAAACTGAATTTGACGCTACCCTCCAGCTACGCTCCTCAGCTCCCTGGTAGTAGGAATAGACGAGAGACCATGTCCAAAGCTGTATACCAATTCCAAGAGCCCTTTGAGCCACAACAACAGGATTCCTCTCTCGCCTCGACAACGCACGAATTTACTGCGACGGTTTCCGGCGCAAATGCGACGCGTACTCACCAACTGCAGGGCCCAAGCCATGACTGACAGCACATTCAAATAGCAGACGAGCTGCTCTTCACCTAACTTGATGGCTTCCTCGGAGAGCTTGTAATCAAAAACTGCTTCACCTTGGCTGCTGGCTTGTTTGCAACAACTGCCTGACTTTCTTGGTACAACCCTTACGGTCTTTCTTCGCCTACATCAAAATGCTAGAACCGTTGAATAGTCACAAGACACACGCACTGGCGTTTGAAAAATGGTCCTCCATCCGATCTCATTCAGCTGTGAGGCGTTCAATTCCCAGCAATGTGAGGTCTACAACCAGGTCTCCAAACGGCAAAGAGCTCTCTGGGGGTGGTCTTCCAAAGCGACGATCCTCTCAGGCTCGGTCTTTGGTCAAAAGCAGCGGCTGGGCTTGGGCAACATTGGGGTCACAAAGAAAAAGACGGGCGTGCCAACTTTAAGACTAAGACTTCCCACTTGAGCCACTCTTTTGAGACACTGGAAACCCTGTAGAATTGAAACGAAATGAATCCATCCGCCCATCCATCCATCCATCCATCCATCCATCCATCCATCCATCCATCCA